ATAAGTTCGAACCCAACAAGGAGCAGAACGAAATGGCAAGCGGTTTTCAGCAAAGTATTCTCTGCAAGCACTGAAATTATCAGTAACAGATAGTTGTGTGATAAGATAAATCGTAATGGGTAACAAGTAATAAAAGTAAACAAGGTGCAGCAAGGTGGCCCAATCCTTTTTCTAGCAAAGGACAAGCCTGGATGAACTCTTATATAAAAGCAAAGCGCTCCCGAGGACACATGGGAATTGTAGTCAAGCTAGTTTTCATCATGCTAATATGATTCGCGTTCGTTCCTTTGATAATTTGGTATGTGGGTGGACCGGTGCTTGGGTGCTGCCCTTCCTTGGACAAGCCTCCCACTTATGATTAACCCCTCTCGCAAGCATCCGCAACTACGAAAGAAGTATTAAGGTAAATCTAACCATAGGCAGAAACATATGGATCCAAATCAGCCCCTTACAAAGCAACACATAAACTAGGATTTAAGCTTCTGTCACTCTAGCAACCCATCATCTACTTATTACTTCCCAATGCCTTCCCCTAGGCCCAACCAATGATGAAGTGTCATGTAGTCGATGTTCACATAACACCACTAAAGGAAAGACAACATACATCTCATCAAAATATCAAACTACCAAATTCACATGATTACTTATAACAAGACTTCTCCCATGTCCTCAGGAACAAATGTAACTACTCACAAAGCATATTCATGATCAAGATCAGAGGAGTATTAATTATCATTAAGGATCTAAAAATATAATCTTCCACCGGATAAACCAACTAGCATCAACTACAAGGAGTGATCAACACTACTAGCAACCCATAGTACCAATCTGAGGTTTTGAGATAAAGATCGGATACAAGAGATGAACTAGGGTTTGAGAGGAGATGGTACTGGTGAAGATGTTGATGAGATTGACCCCATCTCGATGAGAGGATCATTGGTGATGACGATGGCGATGATTTCCACCTCCGGGAGGGAAGTTTCCCCGGCAGAACAGCTCTGCCGGAGCCCTAGATTGGTTCTGCCCAGGTTCTGCCTCGAGATGGCGGCACTTCATCCTGAAAGCTTCCTTCTGATTTTTTCCACGTCAAAACACACCATATAGCAGAAAATGGGCATCGAAGGCCTGCTAGGGGGCCCACAAGGATGGGGTGCACGCCCAGGGGGTAGGGCCCGCCCTCCACCCTTGTGGCTGGCTGGTGGCCCCCCTCGGGTACTTTCTTCGCACAATATTTTTTATATATTCCAAAACTATTCTCCGTGAGGTTTTAGGACTTTTGGAGTTGTGCAGAATAGGTCTCTAATATTTTCTCATTCTCCAGTCCAGAATTCCAGCTGCCGGCATTCTCCCTCTTCATGTAAACCTTATAAAATAAGAGAGAAAAGGCATAAGTATTGTGATCTAATTGTGTAATAACGGCCCATAATGCAATAGCATATAAGCATGATGCAAAATGGACGTATCACCCATCTTCGGCTGCACCATCATGAGCCATTTCCCAGACTCGCTCACTCCGGCCTCCACCAGACCACCATCGTGTCGCTCCCCTTTGTCAGCCTCTACCGGACCACTGCGTCGTTGCTCTCCTCCTTTGGCTTCCATATCAGACCACGACTGCTACGCTCCCCTCTAACGGCATCCACTAGAACACCGTTGTTCCCTCTGCTCCGCTCCTCATGATCGCCTTTGACCCGCTGATAGCAGGCCGGCAGCGAGCTCCTACAGGTTTCTCCTCTCCTTCCTCAGTTCTTTCCCCATTCCCCGACTCCACCCTCAGCCCTCTGGTCCTCACAACCTAGGGGCAAATCTCCAGGGTAGACATGATACGCCGTGGCCCACACTTGACTTTTGGGTTGTTCTATATGGGCGGACCTATGTCTCGCCTGACGCAAGCCAGTAGGATGCCTCGCTTCAGACAGCCATCCGATTGGGCCGGCCCTGCGCGGACAGGACTTCGATGCTTTCTTAATTCATTTACATATTTTTTGTATTTCATTTTGTTTTATTTTTAACTTTCATTTATATTTCAAAATATTCTGAATATATCTATTATAAAATAACTTCATATACAATAGTTGAAAAAAGTTAATCCTGCATTAGAAAATGTTAAACGTGTATAGAAAAAAATATTTGTAACATACACCAAAATTGTATAATGTGTATGAAAATAATAGACATCAAAAATATATATGAAAAAAATGTAGTCGTGTATTTCAACAAAAACTAACGTGTATATAATTTTTTTTCATGACTTATACAAGAAATATAGAATATTTATGGGAAAAGTAGGCATAAATAAATATATGTGTTCAAATCTGATAACTATGTATTTGAATTTTTTAAAACATGTATATAATTTTTCCCTGATGCACACAAAAAATACAATGTGTATGGAAAAAAGTAGACATCAAAAAATATATTTTATATTTGGAAATCTTATAAGGGTATATAGTGTTAATCATGTATTTGGCAAATATTAAATGTAAATATAAAAAATATTCCTGGCATAAGCAAAAAAATGTAGAATCTGTCTGGAAAAAAGTAGACATAAAAAATACATGTTTTCAAAAATGTTAATCATGTATTTGTAAAATGTTGAAGGTGTATATAAAAATTGTTGCTGATGTATACAGAAATGGTTCAATGTTTATGGAAAAAGGTAGACATAAAAAATATAAATTTTTCAAATATGATGCACATGTATTTGGAAAATGTTAATCCTGTACATAAAAAATGTTCCTGATGTATACAAAAAAATGTCGAATGTGTGTTTAAAAGGATGACCTCGAAATATATGTTTGAAAAAATATTAATCTATTATTGCAAAAAAGTTCAACTTGTAGATGATTTGTTTAGGTATATGAAAAATGTTTCATGTAACTTCATTTTTTTAGTGTGTATAAAAATATATTCCCGTTCTATAAAGAAAGAGAAAGAAAAACCAACAATAAAAATAGAAAAAAACCAAGAAAACAAATGAAAACCATTGAAAAAGAATGAAAACAGTAAAAACCCTAGAAAAAAATTCAAGAGAAACATAGGAACCCAATGAAAACAGAGAAATAAACAAATAAATTTGAAGAAAAAATAAAAAAAATAGGAAACAAGGTAAAAAAAACCCATTGAAAATGGAGAAAGAAACAAAGAAACCAAACAAAGACGAAGAGAAAAGAAAGAAAAGTAAAAAAATTGCAAAGAACAAGAAAGAGATAGGAAAACCAAGTGAAAAACAAAGAAAACTGAAAAACACAAAAACCGATGAAGAAACAAAAAACCAAGAGAAACAAAAAAGACAAAAAGCGAGAGGAAATCGAAGCGAACAACATACTGGCGGCTAGCAAGTGGGGAATGCAGGAATATTGGCTGGCGTAGGTCGCAGGAAATCATTCAGGCGAGATTTGCTTGCATCTCTCGTAGAGCGAGATATAGGTCTCGCGGTTCTATATTGCGTTTTTTTAGACAATTCACCGAAGCTTTGTTAATTCGTCACAATAATTACATGGACGAAAGGAAGATTCCCCGGATGACCTAACCAGACATGGCGGCCCCCAATGGTAAGAGCATGCTTCACTAAATTGTGAGGTTCAAAGTTTGAGCTCCGACGTTCATGAACTATTTTACAAGAAGTAAAGGGAGTAGAATAGATAATGATCTCCGAATTACTGCTCCATAACTTGCCAGATTTCGCTACTGAATGTCATCGACCGCCACCTTGCAATCCGATGCAATATGTATTCTTTGTATATAAAGATCATCCGCTAGGGCCAAAGCCTCTCTGACAGCAAATGCTTCAAGTGTTGTTGGGTCTGAGATGTGCCTGAAAACAATAGCAGACACGCCTAAGAAAGCTCCTCCTTGGTCCCTGCAGATCGCTCCTATCGCACCAAAACCGTGATGAGACACGACTGCGTCCGCATTTAGTTTCGAACAGTCCAACGCAGGTTGGACCCAGTGTGCTACATTTGGGATCACCGGATTAGCGGGTACTACCGGATGTCTCGCATTGATCACCTGCAACTCTAATACGCATGAGTTGATAAAACCATGTACTGTATGCGGTGACTGCAATATGTCTTCATGAATAGTCTTTTCCCTTGCTCCCCAGATTGCCCTTAGAGTGATCACAACACAAACAAAATCGTAGGTAGGTATTATCTCATGTATTGCAAATAGCCAATCATTCACGATCTCCTCGGTGTGGGCGCACATCAGTTCAACAACGTGTTCTGGATCGAGTGCCCAGGCACTCCTCGCCTTCGAGCAGGAGAGTAGGGCGTGCCTCCAACTATGCCTAGCCCCGCACAACGTGCAAGTCTCCGTTGTTGCCATCTTCCGGTGATTTAACAAAACTCCATAGGGTATTGGTTGCCTTGCAAGCCCTCATACAAAAACGCGGAGTTTAGAGGGCACTTGAATGTGCCAAATGGAAGTCCATTGATTATGCTCTGACTGTGCCATCGAAGTTTCTTCCTTGATCCAGTTTTCTCTGCCGAGCTTGGTTCTATATTGCCTAGAAGAATATATTTTTTCGAGATTCTGAAGAATAGTAGATGCATCCGCAAAAAAGAAGAAGAATATCAGATGGGATGGACGTGAAAAAACCCAGCATGTCGTCCCGGCCCACAAGCAAGCTGCCATGGCGTCCCAGCCCACAAGCACTCGTCCTGTCCCAGTCCATTCCCCCACCCCGACCCGTCTCTGCTCCCGATCTGAACTCGCCGCCAGCCGCCTCCCGCCCGCCTCCGCGCCTCGCCGGTTAATAGCTGTCGACGCCTCCCGATCTGAACTCTTTGTATTTTGTAGCAAAATTTGATCATACATTTAACTAATAAAATGGAATGCATGTCACCAAAAACTATATCGTTGAATTTGTATTTAAACATAGCTTCCGATGATATTATTTTTGCTATGTATAACTTATATTTTATTAGTTAAAATTATGATCAAAATATGAGTATATGACCCTAAATGTGAGGGGCTAATAAACCAAAACCGAATGCTCAATGCAGTACAGTTGAATTGTCTAGAATTGTGTAAATCTGCTCCACAGAAAATGATGTGTCAAATCATGTTTGCACTGATGTACTCGATAGCGTCCATTACTGTCTAGTTGATATGAATCAAGGGACACGGCTGGTGATCGGAGTTCAGACGGCTTTGAGCTTCTTGACGGTGCCGGCAAAGTACTTGCCCTGGTGCGCCGCGAGGGCGAGCTCGGCATCGCTGGGCACCCTGCTGCCATCGGCTCCAGCGAAGGTGCCGGCACCGTACGGGCTGCCACCCTTGACCTCGTCCATGGCGAACATGCCGGCGCCGTGCGTGTACCCGACCGGCACGAACAGCATGCCGTGGTGCGTCAGCTGCGTCACGGCCGTGAGAGCCGTGGTCTCCTGCCCGCCGCCCTGGGTGCCCGTCGCGAAGAAGACGCCCGCGGGCTTTCCCGAGAGGCTCTGTGCCTGCCAGAGGCCGCCGGTGGAGTCGAAGAAGGCCTTCATCTGCTGCGCCGTCATCATGCCGAACCGCGACGGGAAGCCGAACAGGATGCCGTCGGCCTCGGCCAGCTGGCTCGCGGTGATGATGGGGTGGTCCTCGCGTCGCGCCCCGGTGCCGCGTGCATCTTCCCAAGCACCTCCTCTGGCAGCGTCTCCGGCACCCGCCAGACGGTGACCTCGACGCGGGGGACGGAGTCGGCGCCCTTCTTCATCTCCTCCGCCAGCGTCGCGACGTGTCCCCAGGTCGAGTAGTACCTGCAGAGATTATAAACAGAAATGGCACAAATCAGATCAATCTGCTAGCCACCGGGGCAATTGATAAGAATTAACAAGACTGAGCGAAGGCGGATCATTACACTATGTAGATCTTGGTCGCCATTGCTCATTGCTGTCTTCTCCTTGATCTGTGTTTCTAATTTGCTCTCCTTGTTGTCGCTGTATGGCTATGGCTGGTGAAGGAAGAAGACACGGAGGCACTGGTATTTATAGAGAAAATTGAGAGGCTGCCAGGTCCCAAGTAAACTGATTCAATACTGTTAAGATAATCCTCCTCACGCTCTCTTCCAAAGATCGACTCTGCTAGGGCGATCATTGAATATTGGGTTGAGAAATGAGTGTGGCCGGTGGAGAAAGAACCTGGACACTTCCAAAGCATCAGCTGGTTGAGCTGCGCGCGTAACCATGGCGTCCGTACTGACGTAAGCACGCCCTCCGTCCTGGCAAGCTGCTTTCAAAAGAACAAATGTAGAGAAAATACACTCTCTTCGAAAAGGGAGAAAATACTCCTTGTCCGAGAAATGATAAAAAGTGAGACACCAAATTAATACTAGTAATTGGCACGTGCTTTGCACGGTTTGTAGCATGCATGTCAACGATTCATGTTGACTTCTTCAATTTTTAAATAGCTATAACTCATTATTTATTTTTCCTAGTCATGCAACCATTTATGCTTTCCATTAGCTATAATTCATTTTCGGGATGTTGCTTTCCATTAGCTTTAGATGTTTTTAGCAACTATTTATGTTTTTTTAGCAGCATCAACGCGTCAGACATCATCTTATTTTGTAAAATATATATATGCTTGATAAACGTGTAGCACTTGACTATAATTATCCTGTTTGCTTATATACAATTTCTTATGTCACATTTTCCGTTTCTTTGAGTGTATATTGTGGAAAATATTATGTCGGTGCGGATCTTTGAAACATGGCGGCCAATGCATCCGAATTAAAAAATCAATTAAAAAAAATGAAGATTCAAATTTTTCTGAATTTATTTAACTAACACGACCTAGCATAATACTCGTGTAAAAAGTTGCACGGGGGAATGACTGTCGTGGTATCCTCAGCAATAAAAAACCACAAGTCCAAAAAATATGAATAGTAACTTTTATATAGTACGTATCAGTTTTGTTTTTTCCCGTCCAGGACACTACGCTTACACGTGCAATGCACGTCTTACATTTATTTTTTTGAGAAACTTGCCCAATGAAAGTATTGCTTTTTTTAGGCAATTTAGCAAGTATTGCTGATGTAGAGTACGGAAGCCCAGCCTCATGACACGGAGAAGAATTTGCAAATTCTGCCTTGGGCTTAGCACGTCCTCCAATCTGCAACATGGCCCAAGATGTATCACGTATTGGGCCTCTTTTCTGGGAAGTGGGAGGCAATGGTTCCAGAACATCGTGGAGGTTGTTACGGTCTACTGTTCATCACGAATCCCTCTGCTGTCAGCCGTTAGATTTAGCACACCAACGGTTATGATTGATGCTGCAGATCCAATTCAAAACTAGTACACTATATAGTAGTATAGATATAGATATAGATTCGTACGGTATAACAACTCAGCATGACGCTTGCACCACGTATATATATATGAATCACCAACTCATACGTGACTGTCCGAGGCTTTCCGCCGGCGGCCGCGGCTCCCTCACCAATCTTGAATTTGCGTTTGATTTCGAAGTTGAGCGATGCGTCGATGATGCACACTATGCATCACAGGATAAACCGTATGTACTCCCTCCGTTTTATAATATAAAAATATTTTTGACATTAATACAGTGTAAAAAAATACTCTTATAGTATTATGTCAGCACGGCAATGGTTACCAACTACCCGCGAACCCGACAGGTAAAAACCTTATTAGGGTAAGGGTTTGGAAAAATAATTACCCATGGATTTATAAATGGAAAAAAATTATACGTAGGCCGGGTACGGGTATGGGAAGGCAATACCAATATCCGTGTGCCCGCATACCTGTATGCTTATTTGTGTCATGAACCAATTTGTCATTTCTATGTTGAACCTATTTGTGGTCTCTAAGTTATATGTTTGTTGATTTATTTGTGTGTCAAACTTTAAATTGCTGAAATGACTATGTGTGTGTGCTGAAATGTTAAAATGTGACATGTTTATGTGTTGCAATATATGTGCTAAAATGTCGTGATGTTGTGTATATGTGGTGAAATGCTGAAATATATATATATACGTTTAACTGCTGAAATATATGTGCTGAAATGCTGGAATGTAGTATATATGTGTTGAAATGCCGAAATGTTGTGTTTTACATACTAAAATGCTGAAATTATACATGAAAAAAATATGAATTGAAAGATCATCGAGATGGGTATTTTTACCCGCGGGCATTACCCGCCGGGTACGGGAACAATATGAAACCCAGGGTGCAGGTACGGGTATGGGTTTGGGCAAAAAATATTAAGACGGGTGCGGGTTTGGGCAAGCATTACCCGCCCCGAACCCTGCAGGTGCCGTGTTTATTTATGGGACAAAGTGAGAACGTGATAGATAGATTGCACATTAAGTCGACTTGGCTTAGTAGTAGGCTTGCTGTTGTGCATTCTGATCACCTGGGTGCAATTTTTAGAATTGAAATGTGATGCGTTTTCTTTTTACATTTTACGTTTTTGAGGACCAAGCTTGGCGCGTGATGGGATCGCACGTTAAGATATTCTTTTGGGTATTCATAAAAATATCCATGAGGGACAAGCTTGATAGTCGAGAGAAGTGAAATTATCTCCCAATTTTGAGGACTGCACTAGCGAACACACACACGCCTGCCTCCTGGGTCGGTCCTACGATTTCGCTGCTGAATGTCATTGACCACCACCTTGCAATCTGATGCAATATGTATTCTTTATATATAAAGATCGTCCGCTAGGGCCAGAGCCTCTCCGACAGCAAATGCTTCAAGTGTTGTTGGGTCTGAGATGTGCCTGAAAATAATAGCATATGTGCCTAAGAAAGCTCCTCCTTGGTCCCTGCAGATCGCTCCTATCGCACCAAAACCATGACGAGACACGACCGCGTCCACATTTAGTTTCGAACAGTCCAACGCAGGTTGGACCCAGTGTGCTACATTTGGAATCACCGGATTAGCGGGTACTACTGGATGTCTCGCATTGATCACCAACCCTAATAGGTATGAGTTGATAAAACCATGTATTGTATGCGGCGACTGAAATATGTCTTCATGAATAGCCTTTCCCTTTGCTCCCCAGATTGCCCTTAGAGTGATCACAATGCAGACAAAATTGTACTAGGTGGTATTATCTCATGTATTGCAAACAACCAATCCTTCGCGCTCTCCTCGGTGTGGGCGCACATCAGTTCAACAATGTGTTCTGGAGCGAGTGCCCAGGCGCTCCTCGCCTTCGGGCATGAGAGTAGAGCGTACCTCCAACTATCCCTAGCCGCGCACAACGTGCAAGTCTCCGTTGTTGCCATCTTCCTGTGATTTAACAAAACCCCACAGGGTATTGGTTGCCTTGCAAGCCTTCATACAAAAACGTCGAGTTTAGAGGGTACCTAAATGTGTCAAATGGAAGTCTATTGATTATGCTTCGACTACTGTGCCACCGAAGTTTCTTCCTCGATCCAGTTTTCTCTGCCGAGCTTCGTTCTATATTGCCTAGAACAATAGTGTTTTCTTTTTCGAGATTCTGAAGAATAATAGATGGATCTGCAAAAAAGAAGAATAATAGTAAAAAAAAAATTGAGACAAGGAAGAATAATAGTAGATGGGCTGCAGGTGGAAAAAAAACCAGCATGTCGTCCCGGCCCACAAGGAAGCTGCCATGGCGTCCCGGCCCACCATCATTCGCCCTGTCCCAGTGCATTCCCGCACCCCGATCCCCCTCTGCTCCCGATCTGAACTCGCCGCCGGCCGCCTCCCGCCTGCCTCCGTGCTCCGTGCCTCGCCGGTTAATCGCCGTCGAATCCTCCCGCCTGGATCCGTGC